GGAAATTGAGGTTCCAGGAGGTTAAGTGACTTACCCACATTCACACAGTTGAGTGGAAGAGTGAATATTTGGACCCAGGTCGGTCTGACTCTCATTCCCTGCACTTTCCCCACTTGGGCTATGTCCACATACCACTCAAGGACCCAGGGAGGGACCACTGGCTCAGTCCACAGGAGGTGCCAGGTCATGGGAGGCTAGGGCAGGGGAGGGGCACTAGGGGCCAGGACCACAGAATTGGCCTGAGGCTTATGCTGGTGACTGGAGAGACCTGCATTAGAAGCAGGTGGTCATTCCAGAACGTGTGTCCCAAGGGTAGTATCTGCCCCAGTTGACGAAGAGCTGTGGCGATCTCTCTACGCCAGGTGGCCACTGCTCGAGGTCAGGGCTGGGGACAGACCAAGGCCCTGTGTCCAAGACCCAGAATTCAGGAGGGGATGAAGGAAGTGGAAGGAGCAGCCTGTGCCACAGGCCCGGTGAGGGTTGGGACAAAAAGTTTAGGGGAGGAAGGTTTCAGGGGCCCAGTAGGACTTGGCCCCGAGCCTTGTAAAATACAGAGTCGGGGCAGCAGCCAGGCTGTGAGTCCCACATGCTTCCCTAGCATGTTTGAGGAGGTGTTCAGTCCTCTCCACACCACTCTCCCTCTGTCCTGTTCTCCAGGCTGGGCCTGGGCCCAGATGCAGGGCCCAGACCCTGTCGGAGGCTTGGGTGCCCCCTGTCCCCAGCGGGTGTGTGGGTGATAGAAGGTGCGGGGGTCTTACCTTGAGCTGTTAGAAGCACCGGGGCCCAGCCCACCCTGGACTGACTCGGGTTCAGCTTTCCTTTGTGGCGAGGGGCCTGTTAGAGCGGCAGTGTTCAGACTATGGTGCACATGCCCTGGGGGTGCAGAGACGGTCCAGGGGTACGAGGGCAGAAGAGTTTTAAAGCATTCAGCTTGCAGATCTTCAGCTCCCGCCAGAGCTATGGCCAAAAAGCGACCCGCCAGAGAAGGGCCTTGCACCACCACCTCGCTCTGCAGCGGGGCCCGAGGCTTGCTGGGGGACTCGGCTCAGGGCTCCCAGGCCTCCTGGGCGGCAAGAGAGGGGCCACTTGAAGTGCTGATGTAGGAGCTGAGAAAGTAAAAGACTCTAAAAGCTGGGTTTCCCACCCTTTCACAAGTCACGTGGTTTCCAGTTCTTTCTTTCCACAAAAGTGATGGAAATGGTCAGCTGAGATCATTTAAAATAAATATTGATAATAGGTATCTATGCAATTTAAGGCAAATACCGAGGAAAGAGGTTAAAGAATTGCCAACATTGCAATAATAAAACTATTTTCAGCCCCATCTATATGTGAACAAGATGTTTCATCCTTTACATCTTTAAACACCAAACCAAGGGACTTCCCTGGCGGTCCGGTGGTTAAGACTCCACGCTTCCTCTGCAGGGGGCATGGGTTCTATCCCTGGTCGGGGAAATAAAATCCCACAAGCTGCACTGTGCGGCCAGGGTAAAAAAAAAAAAAAAAAAAAAAAAAAAAAAAGATCTTTAAGCAATACTAAATGCTAATTAAATCATGTACTCCCTGGGTAAAAATCTTGGTGGAGTCTCATTAGAATAAAACTTTAATTAAAATAATGAAATAAAAATTAAAACAGTATTGATGCTAAAACCCCATTTCACCCTAGCAAATATTCGTGTACATACGTGAACTAAAACAGAAAAAATGCTCTACCCATCTCATTAAGCGATGCAATTCCACCAGAATGGTACTTTGCTGCTGAATATTTATTAAAATTAGTAATGTGTTGGTCAAATTTTTTATTATGTACTGCTAACCATTGTAATAACTAACCCAGAATATGTTTCGAACATTTGGAGCCTAGTGGTCTCAGGAGATCTTTCATTTCCACTTACACAGATATTTTTGTTGAAGCAAAATATAATAGGGTGAGGAATAAAAGACTTTAAAAAAGAAAAATGCAAACTAGGGCATAATTCTTTGGGAGAAATAGACTAGAAACACAAAATCAAAGAGAAAAAGGAACGTTGCAGGGTTTCTACAAGGGAAAGAACTTGTTTATGTGTCTTTTAAATGGATGACGGTGGATATCAAATCACTATGGAATTTGGATTCCACTGAATACATTTAAAAGAATGATGTAACAGTTTTATTTTAAGATGTAAATATTTACATTATTCTGGAAATTATATTCTTTGCAGCTATTTAAACCTGCTCTGGAAATATTCACATGTTGACTTAAAAATGTGCCAGGGTGTGCATTGTTTTTCCAAATTACTTTATGGATGCACAGCGAAAACAGTTTGAAGGCCACTGAGCCAGAGAAACGGAGTCCCGTTTGATCACCTGTGGATGTCTCTGCGCTTCCCCCTGCCATCTCCACTTCCCTGGGGCTCCTGCCCAGTTTGGGGGCCTCCTCTACAGAGTGTTTGCTTTCTGGGAGACCAGCCATTTACCCGTTATCTTACTGAGTCTTCACGACAGTCCAGCAAGGCAGGTTCTTTACTGGCTGCAGTGAACAGATGAAACAAATGAGGTTTAGCAAGGTGAAAACTTTCCAAGGTCACACAGTCGGCAGTGGCAGAGCTGGGATTCAGACCCAGGGCGCTTCACCTCTACGTGGCACCGCCTCCCGTTCACCACCTCCAGGTACACGGGCTACATCCCCTGCTGTCAACTCCAGTTCAAGAAGTTGAGCAAGTTGCTGATGGTTTGTGAGCCTCGGTTTCTGCATCTGTGAAATGGGGTGATAATACCCATCTCACAGGGTGGGGTCAGGAGTGAATGAGAGGTGATGGGTGAATGTGCCTAAGAGCGCAGCCCACCTCCTTCCCAGAGTGGGGGCAGTCCTGCACTAGCCAGGGCAGGAGGGGCCTGGGGGCTGGAGCCCCCTGAAGGACTGATGTCAAGATAAGCATCAGCCCCCAGTTCCATCTTCCTGACCTTTTAGCCAACTTCTGAGCTGTGGCTGAGCAGCAGGGAGAGCTCTGGCTTGGTCTCAGCTGTCATCTCTCTCTCTCTCTCTCTCTCTCTCTCTCTCTCTCTCTCTCACGTTCTCTTTCTTTCTTTCTTTCTTTGCAGCTGGATCCACAAACTGTAGAAACGAAGAACTGGCACACAGATGTGATTGAGATGAATGGGGTGAGCCCAGAGAGATAGGAAGTGTCTGCACAGTGGGTGGGCAGCCTGGCCTCTGCTGGTGCCCTGGGGGCGCTGTCGGACCCCCACCTCCTTAGCCCAGCCCCTCCCCCCTCTCCTCTGCCTCCACCCCTCTCGCTCCCACCCTGTAGGTGTTTCAGGGAGCCCTGGGTGGGAGAGGTAGCCATTGTTTGCAGTCCTGGGGGGCACTCCTTGGGCACTCATGCCCTGGGGGATTGTGCCTGCCTTGCCCCCAACCAGATCAAAGTGGAATTCTCCATGAAATTCACCAGCCGAGATATGAGCCTGAAGAGGACCCCGTCCAAAAAGCAGACCGGCGTCTTCGGTGTGAAGATCAGCGTGGTGACCAAGTAGGTGCTGCACCCGGGGTCCCTGCCAGCCCTGCCCTCCAGGCCCCCCGCCCTTGTCTGGCCCCTCAACAGTCACTTTCCAGTTCAACGGTCACAACGGCCAGTTTGGAGGGCAGAAGTGGCCTGCAGAGGTGTGTTCTCTGCCTCACGCGATGCTTTAGAAATAAATGAGCTACTAGCACTTAAGCTTCGGGAGGCTGCACGTGAAGATCCCCGATGGTCAGCTTCTTGTAATGGGCGGGAAGATCTGACACCTGTAGGCCCGTTTCTTGGTGTGCCAGTTGGCAGGCTGGAATCCAGGAGTGGCTGCTCCTTGGGAGAGGGCACCCTTCAGCCCCCCTGCCCTCCCCTTGGCTCCAGGACCTGGCCCACCCCCCTCTGTAGGTAACCTGCTGGGTGCCCCCATAGCATTTGAATCTGAGCCCTCTGTTCTGAGGAACAC